GTGTGCTTCTAAACTGTTCTTTATTGCCTTTCAGTATCACTTGTGAAAGATGATAGTAATATTGCTGTTCACTTTCAAAATATGCAGCCAGCTCTAAACTCTTCAAATCCACTTTTATGCAGACCAGGAGAGAGAAAAATGCTTTTATTAATTAAATGGCACTCTCTTTGTTCCAGTTTCCCTGGTTGTGCTTATTACCTTGGCTGCTATGTGTGCTTGGCTCTCTCAAGTCATTCTTCTCTAATGTGGTGGTGATGCGGGACAACCAGATGGTATCCAAAGCCCTGTTTTAGAGCGCTTTCTCCTCTTGGCTGAGCAACCCTAGTAACTGAAGTCAAGGAAGCTCTATTGTGCACTGAGGAATGTGGTGGGAAGCTGCTGTGCCCTTCCTAGCAAACTCAGTGTTGGCATGAAGGAACCGGGGCAGCAAAGACCAACTTATTTAAAAGATCTCTCCATCTTCTTCCCACAAAGCATAACATTGCATAGCGAGTGTCGTACCTGCTCTGCGGGCTGACAACTACAATTTGTATTTCGTTTTGCCCAAGCCAACCCACAGAGCTTACATAAGTGTCTTTCTGTCCCATTCCATGTCAGACCAATTTTAAATTTAAATCCCAGTGCTGTGGGATATTGCCTAATCAGATTAGAGAGCATGTACCAAGTATCTTTCCTGCTGTATCGTCAGTTCTTCTAGATTGTTGTACGTACTTTTTGAAGTACTGCTGTATATGAAGAGTGTGGATTGGAGGTTAGAGGCTTCTTCTATTGTTCTAATTTTTTATTATTATTTCTTAGGCTTGGGGAAGATTTTTTTTCACAGCATGGAAGCAAGCCTACTTTTGTGCCTATGAAATCAGAGAATTTTTTCATTGTCTGATGCTGATTTGCTGTATCACCATATATGTACAAATGTCCACGCACTGACACCACTGCCGGTAAAATCTCCAGCATGGTCCCCAAAGGGAATAATGGCAGCAGCAGCGGTAGGGCAGGACAGATGCAAATTGGTCTGTCCCCACCTCCATCCTCTCAAAAAGAGTCTCTGCTGAGTCTTTGGGTTTGCCACTGCCCGAGGTAGCTGAATACTTGTAGTGTGTGCAATGGGGTGTTTGCCAAAGGTCGTGCTGTATGATAAAGTTAAGCACATCTCCACGTGTGATTGTTTGAATTACTGCTTTCAATCTGTTCTAATATTAGAAGCACCAGGCTGCCTGCCAAACCCCCCTCACCCTCGACATAGACATGTGCACACTTGCTGGGGTATCTTGCAAAGTTTCAGCCTTACATTCAGCATTACAGTAGTATTGAAACAGGTCTGGGCACCTTCCTCGAGGAGGACTCACAAAGTCCCAGGTTCTTTGATTTATTCATGAAGATTTTCTAGCTACCCCCACAACCCCCCTACAA